CAAGTTATTACTCAGGCAATTCATACAAAATAATGCAGTAATAAAGGACTAGGATGGCAGAATAGACTTTACCATTACAATTCAAGATGGAGGGCTCATATGTTTTAACATTCCTAAAAACCTCCTTGCAAACAGAAGACTAGCACTTCAATCAGAGACCAAAAACAGAAGTTTTTTTATTTTTATTTTTATTGCCCTGTTGAGCTAGTTTCCTATATGCAGGGCTTTTATTTTTTTAACATGGAGAAGACTTCAAAATCATTCATACGTAGGGTTTGAAGTGAAACTGCCCGTTCAGCAAACTCTACCATTACATTCTCTCATTTTACCAGATATGTGGACCAGACTAACATATCGAGCCAGTGAACAAAAGCTGAAAACTGTAACTAGATATACAGGTTAAATCCCACCCCAATGATGAATCATTAGATGCTTCCAAAGAGTTTCTACATATTTTAAAAAATGATGCAAACAATCTATGTGCCAAACTCCAAGATTCTGAAAGAGATTACAAAAAATAATTTAAAAATATCAGAGCTACAGTATTTGTATTTTGAATGTTAATTTGACAAAAAGAAGTGCACGTGTGGGAATGTGTATAATCAGGACTCCAATAAACTCACAAATGACTCTAGTATTTTATAAGCTTGTTAGGAACAAATCACTCCCTTAGCTTATATTTACTTACTGATGAATCATAAAAGGCCTCAATACACAAAGAGTATTTTTTTTTAAAAAAAAGGCTTTCCTCTGGTTTCGTTAACAACTGTCCTGAAAACCGATAGCATGATTCCTACAGTTCACCTCTCTAATGGGTAAGGGACACCCCCTCCCTGCCCCATCCAATATTATAATCCCATAACCTTTCATATACACAGGAGAGGAATCCTAGTTTGCAAAAAGCACAGAACTAGCATCCTCCTCCTGCCCTTATGTTGCTTAGAGAGCAATCTTTGGGAGCACATCCAATTGTGCTGATCTGCATAATGATGAAACTCTAGAGGGACTGCTCAGTCTTAAGAGGCATAAAAGAAAATACCCACCGTCCTCTAAACAAATGCGACTAGACGAACAATGCAAGCTAGGCAGAATCTGAAGATGGAAGCAAATGTCCATGGAAGCCGAAATATGGAAGCTGTGAGACTTAAACAGAGATGGGCCAAAGTGTGGCCTGAATAAGCCTAATTTCTCACCATGAAAATTTGTAAACTAAAAAGAACTGGCACAGCTTGGACTTGATGCAAGGAATTGCCAAGTCTAGAACTAAGAACTCCTCCTGGCTTTGTGCACAGTTGCCTGATGGGCTGATTTCACAAAGCCTATGTGTTAAATATCTCTATGGAGCAGAGAGGGAGACCTTTGTTGTTGTTGTTGTTTTGTTTTGGTTTGGTTTTGGTTGTTGTTGTTTTTTGGGCAAGGATTATATCCTCTCAAGGGGTAGGGGCATGTTGGTGGAATGGCCTGGAATGAAATGTGGGCAAGAGCACTCCTTTTCTCTCACTCACTCACTCTGTCTCCCCTCCATCCCTTACTCTGCCATTTGCAAAAGGCCTTCTCCCTGTTCTATTGCTCTGCCAAGTTTATCTCTCCATCCCTTTCCCCTTTCCTTCAGATCCATAGCATAAAAAGAACTAGCAAAGCTTGGCCTGGTGCCAGGAATTGCCAAGGCTTGCTAGGGATGCCAAGGAGGTGCCAATCAGTTTCAGACTGGTTGACTGGTTACACTTTCGGACTGCAATACAATACAGTATTATATGTTCTTTAAAAAATGTGAACAATGAAAACAATGACTGAAGAAACATGTATATAATAAAACCAAGAATAAAACCAGTGGAGGGATCCCCACACACATATACAAACACACATATACACACAAACATTTCCATCTCTCCCATCTCTCCTCTTCTCCAATTTGATTTTCATTCTCTCCCTTTGACCATTGGCTTTGCTAAATAGGGAGAGGTTATAAAGGTTTTTGGTTCAGGGTAGAAATCTAACTGTTCATTTGTTCTCTGCTTCTGAGCTACTTGCTTCCACTCTAGGATATGCCAACTTTCAACATTTTCATTTTAAAAGTCATTTTAAAAATCATTGATTTAATACTGTTTTAAGGGGGGAGGGGGTTTGTTGCATATATGTGTGTTTTATGGATATGTATATGTTTTTAAATTGTAAGCCGCCCAGATTGGTATTCCAGAGGGCGGGGTATAAATAAATTTTATTAATATTATTATTATTTCCTGTAGCAGGTGCAGGTTTCCTCAAGATGCCCCTGCCAAACTTCTCCTATGCTTTTCCAAGTAGTATAAGGTTTGGAGCCAATGTTCCTGACTACCAGATCAGAAACTGGTGGTAATGTGAAATATGATTCTTTTAGGGTGGAAAATGTTCTCTTGCCAACCACAGAAGAAAAATGTCAGTGGATGGATGAGCTGTGAACCACACGTAGCTGCAGGTCTTAGGGACTTATTGCATGAGAAAAGAAAGCTGAAATAAAGCAGGAGAGTAGCGGCTTTCTCCATGCCTCTCCATATGCTGTTGTAACATTTCTATTCTCCTTCCTGAGGGATACAGTTGTAAAAGCATGCTGTTTGCCAAACAAATTTTTCCAGTGCAACAAGAGGCATGCTTTTACAACCGTGTCCCTGAGAACTGTCATATCAATAATTTGTAAACTGCTCTGAGAGCCTCTCCTCTTTTCTGGAATGTATTTGTGGATGTCCAGGTGACTGCATTGTGGGTAAGCTTTGTGTTCTTTATGGCAAGCATGACCACCTCTTGATTTAGGGTGAAGTAAGGCAGCCTGAGTCAGGATTAACAAAATAACAAGAGAATAAATGTGGTTTATTATATTCTGTAGCATAATAAATGGTTTAACAAGTAGGTCCAACCATATAATGATATTCAACCAGAGTTATGTCAGACCATATTGCACAATATAAATCTGAAGTAACAAAAGAAAACTAAATATCAGCTCAGACTATCTACTTTTCTATCCATCCTTCAATATATGAATGAAACCACACTAGGAATCATGGGAACTATATATCCCATGTTTTCCAACCCCCAGTATCCTATCATGCATGCTCCCAGCAGCTTGATACTTGAGTTATGTGGAAAAGACAGAACCCTCTCTCTTAGAAAAAGGAGAAAAGGTTCTGAGTATAGGAGGAGCCCAGCATGGAGGTTTCTGAGCCAATTTGGAAACAGTCCCATTTAAAAGTGGATTAATTTCCTATGTCCAACAGACATTCTTCAGATTAATCTGATTTAATCAGACTGACTCCAGATTGATGGGCCAGGGGAGTGTGCCCAGTACTAAGGAAAAAAGTACAGCAAGGCACACACTTGTGAGGGAGATTAAATCAGAACTTGGAGGAATTGTTTTAGGCTGCCACACTCCCAGAATCCCCCACTGACCTGGAGAATTCTGGGAGTTGTAGTGCAGAAGAGAAACTTTCCAAGCTCCAGTTTAAATTATCTCTGTTTATGTGTGTGGGTTAGGTTTTCCCAATCCATCTCACTCCCAAATTACTCTGAACTACAGAGTTCATGGGAACTTTTGTGAACTGACACAGTTGTATACAGTCCCACTTTTTCATCTACATTGTGCTCCCCTAGATTCTGTCTCTTGGTCACAGAAAAATGTGATGAAATGTTTGGAACTCACTTAGAAGGATAGATATGTATCTATCTCCATCTTTATAGAGAGACATATAAAGATATGCACATCTCAACAGGCTCATAACCAGTATGTTAATACAAGTTGTGTATGGGGAGAAAGGAGCTGGCACAGGGGTATTTTTCAAATAAATGCAAGTAAGTGATCTGCACAGTAATGACTGCATTAGGTAGATTTGTCTGGCACTCTTGTTTGCTAGGTTAAACTATTATTGGGGGTTATCAGAACATGTGTTTTATTAAGCACACACTTAAGGCACCTACAAAGCATTACACAAATAAATTCTTGTGGTCTAGAAAAATGGATCCACTTACAGCAGCCATAAAGTTTCTTGTCTACATTCAGCCTTTAGTATTTCCTGCAGATGCTGATGAACAGTACTTCTGTAATCATAGCAGTAAGCATATTTTGCTGAAATCTCTTCTGGGAGGGAAACAACTTTTCTTACTCAAATTTCCAATTTCCATGTGAAAAACTCATGTCATAAACCTTGCTGTTTCCGGAATCAAAATTCAAATAGCATTTTACATAGACCTGCCGAGTGCCAAGTGTCCAGCAGTGGGCAGATCTACTGTGTTTCTTGTGTCTCTGTTGCACTCTGTATTTTTTCCCCAATCCTAATCTGTTATCCTTTTTACCTTGCAGTTTCAGACACTTTTCATTTGTTATTGCAGAGAATATTAAAGATTTTTTCCTCTTGTGGGAAAACTACATGTTCTTATGAAAAAATAGAGTACAGTTAGTCCGACAGGCTACTGGGCGGATGAGTGATTGTATGTTGGATGGGCATTCCTTACAATCCTTAAAGTTACATACTTGATAGTAATGTACCTAGTAGAGAGGGTGACTGCTCTCATCATTTGGGGGTTAGATGACCCCCCTCTGTTTAGTCCATAAGATGCCATTGGTAATAACGTTTCTGCCTCCCACCACCTACACAGTAATGTAATATGTTTCTACGTAATTGTTAATCAACACGGTAATAAGATATTCTGTGACAGGCTACTGTGGGGGCTTCACAAAGAATATGGTGTATAATCTGGTAAAGTAGATAACGGACCCACTGAGCACAAGCAGCACCCAAATGACATTTGTGGAAAACAGGAAGGCTTAGTGATTGAACCAGTGGTCACTCATGGTTATTTCAATACACTGTCATATAACTGACTGTTGTTGTGTGCCTTCAAGTAGTTTCCCACTTATGGCGACCCTAAGGCCTATCATTGGGTTTTCTTGGCAAGACTGATTCAGAAGAAGTTTGCCATTGCCTTCCCCTGAGGCTGAGAGCATGTGATTTGCCCAAGGTCAGTGGGTTTCATGGCCAAGCTGGGAATCGAACCCTGGTCTCTAGAGTCATAGTCCAACACACAAACCAGTACACCACTCTGTTTCTGTTAGCAATCCTGTTAACTATTAATTACAATTTTAGTCTTTCTCTTCTTCAGCATTACCATCATCACCCCTTAATACTTAAACAAACAAGTGCCAGATATGGAGGTCTTTAAACACTGGTTGGATGACCATCTTTCAGGACTGCTTTAGTTGTGTTTTCCTGCATGGTAGGGGGTTGGACAAGATGGTTCTTGTGTGGTTCCTTCCAACCCTATGATTCTATTATTGGTTTTTAGGGGAATTGACCTGATTCACATTTCACAGATAAATACTCAGGCTATAACATAGTTATCAGTTGGTTTTTGCACTTCTATGAAATTTGTGATACATTTATTTCATTTTCATAATCTACCAAAGTGTGTATTTTATGATGAAATGCATCATAAAATGCATGTTTTAGGCTGAAATATGTTTAAAATACATTCCTGAGTAATACAAATGGTTGTGCATTTAACCAGAAATCACAGGCCAATGCAGAAATGAAAAGCAAGAGACCTATGAAAAAAAATGGACAAAACAAACAGTATAAACAAACAGTAGACTGATCTATCCATCCTTAAGTGTCAACTGAACAAGTGCATGACATAGTGAGATCTGAATCACAGACATCCTAGCTCACAATTCACTGCCACAACTGACACATTGAATTTCCTTAGAATGAACACCTTCCACTTCGGTGAAAGATTTGCCACATTTACACTGGTGCTAAGCTCTGGCCACAAGGGTGAAAACAGCATGAAGAACACACACTGGGTACAATCTTCACGGGTGACCTAATACTATCCACAGAAGCAACTGAGGCCCTGATGTAAGTAAAGCTAGTAGCAAGCCATTTTAGCCTGCCCAGTATCATTATCTATGATTTAATTTATTAGAGCCATTGCTACTCTAGCTGTCCACCTTGAAGAAGATGCTCAAGTAACTTATGAAAATATAAAACAAAACAAAAATAAAAACAAACCCCTTTATTTTAGGGAAAACAAACAAACCAAAAGCTTCAAAAGAAGGCAAAACTGGAAAGAAACCAGTTAAAACAGAGAAAATACCTAATAACTGATCATCTGGAGCCTCGCTAGAAAAGAAACATTTTAAGATGCTGGTGGAACTCTGACAAAAGCAGAGTTAATGTACTTTGACACCACTGTATCTGTCATGGCTCCATCCTACAGAATCCTGGGATTTGGGATTTGTTGTGGTACCAGAGCACTCTGACAAAGACGACTAAATAGCTCACAAAACTACAAATCCCAAAATTCCAAAGCATTGAGCCATGGCAGTTCAAATGGTGTCCAACTGCATTAATTCTACAATGTTGGTGCAGCCAAAGAGACAACCAAGCCTCTCGTGGTAGAGAGATCCACATTGTAGTGGCCACCAGAGAAAAGCTTCTTTTGTACATCCCAACCCTCTGGCTTTATTTGAAAACTCAAGAAGATGGGAAGATTTTTACTGGAAAGCCAACCTATAAGGTATCATGGTCATAAGCTGTTAACAACAGCTTTACAAAGGTGACAACCTGTACGACAAATTGTGCCCGCAAAAGGATCAATTAAGTTGAGCTTCCAACACTTCTTCTCTTTACTTGTAGCACTAATAGAGCAGGAGTAGGCGCCATCTTCTCCTCACCAAGATTAATGCTATAAACTGTCATTCGCTTCAGTAAAATTTATCAACATTATTATACACCTTAGAAACTGCCACTATAGACAAATGCACTGCATTAAAATTTGCTCTAGAGCTCCCTCGAGGCAACACTTGCTACCATTTGTAGAAGAGTTTATATATTTATGCTATTTAATGGTACAAAGCAATAATTATGACTTCATTCACTGATAAGCAACAGCATTACATAAATCTGGGGCGGATTTGGAACATGCCAGCTTTGTCAGTGGCACGACTAGTTGTAAATTATGTTGCTGTTAAAAAAAAAAATATTCTAAGCAAATATGAGGTAGCAGCAGGAAGCTAATAATGTGCCTCCAGCTGTTCCAGTTAACCTGCAAATGTGGCCATCTGCACCTCAAGAGAAAAAAGAAAAGACGAGATGGAGGAAGGGAGGGAGGGAAAGGAGAGAAAGGAAAGGAGACACCGCCAAAAACGGCACAAAGCTTAGGCCCAAAGCAGTGGGAGTAACCTTGGTCCTTCTGACCAGACAAGCACATCTACAAAATCAGAAAAAGTTACAGAAGAATAAAGGATCTCTTCTCCCCTAGACTCGCACATACAAAAAGAAAAGGAAGGGGAAGGGATTCTCTCTCTGTGCTGTTTTTCTAGGACATTCCATCTTTTTATCTCCCGATTTATTATTTGCAGCAAACCTTGATTTTTCTATTTTGCATAAGGAGCACCATTTCACTATGCCATTGTATTTAATGGGACTTGAGCAAGCTTGTCCAACTGGGTACCAAAAAGAATATTTTGCAGGCTGGTTCAACCGGGTACCAATAGAGTATTTTAAAAATGAACAAAAAGTAATTAAAGAAACATACAGAGAGTAACAACTAATTATATAATGAACTGAAATGACATGAGCTGAAAAATAATTATCAAGCAACTAAGTAACAATTACGTCATCATAGACAGGAAGCAATTGACAGTGTTTTGCAAAATTAAATTAGTCCATTATATAGTTTAGTTTATTATACAGTGGGTCCTTTAGTTTGGTTTGGTTCCAGGAACCCCCCTCTCATGCGTAACAAAATCCATGGACACTCACATCCCAGTAAATACAATGGTATAGTGAAATGATGCTCCTCATCCAAAATAGCAAAATCAAGGTTTGCTTTTCAGAATTTATATCTTTTTTTGAATATTTTCAAGCCATAGATGGTTGTACCATGGATAAGGAATCCATGGGTATGAAGGGCCAACGGTATAATTAGTAGTTACTCTCTGTATTCTTCTTTAGTTCCTTTTTGTTCATTTTTTAATATATTTGATACTTCTGTTTGGTTTTCCCCAAGTTTGTTAGTTTTCTTTTCAAGACCCTCCTGTAACTTCTTTTGTGTTAGGCTTGTCCAGCAAACAGAATTTTCCTCACAACTTCAAACTTCCTTTAAAAAAAAATGAAAATAAAATATAACTTGAAATGCCTCTCCATAGAGCTATCCCAAGTTATTAGGGTGGGAAAGTAGTTATTATGATAGAATTTATTCTTGCTTCAGATGCTTTCAAATAGATCAGCAGGACACAAAGTGTGAACTGTCAAACAAGACAGAAATTCTCAGACAGAAAAGACACAGATCTCACAATGACCACTACTGCTCCTTCCTAAAACTTTGGACGCAGAGAGATGAGGATGTATTCAAAAATGCACATGTGAGCTTCATCTTCTAAAATATTATTTTATTTCAGATGCAGGTCTGAAAAAAGGTAAGGAAATCTGGGTCACAAGGAATTTATACACACGCATGCACACACAAAATCTTTGACATTGGTCTTTTCTTGCTAACCCTGCTGGGACTGAAGCTAGCTATAGATAGCTACATTTTAGTAATCTATGAATAATACAAATCTCCTTTTGAGGCATGCTTCTAAATACTGCACAGTTTCATTTATTCAGAAAGTTCTACAACATACCCAAAGCCATTTGGACTATCAGATGTCCAGAGATCTGGGCATGCAGTTAACATTTGGTCACCAGTTTCTCATGAAGGTAATGTACAAATTTTTGTGTTCCACAAAATGCATTTAATTACAGGGGTGGCAATAGCATCATAAATATGAAACAGCCCTGTGATGCTTGGAAGGCTAACATTTATTGTGCTATGAGCTTTCATGGGCCAGGGCCAATTTAATCAAATGTAGAAAGCTGCCTGCTGAGTAGATCACTGAACCCAGGGGAATTTAAGGGTACCACCAAGGGTTGCACCCAAGTGTTGCCCATCAGCTTTGCAGTTCCTGAAGTACTTTTTGTCCTGGCAATCTTAACGCTATCTTGTGTGCTAATTTTTAAGGCACCATAAGATTCTTTGTTGGCTTGGTTGTAACAGGCCAGTATGCTTCTACTCATTCAAAGCAAAGCTTCATAATACTCAGTCTGGACTCTTCATAAAAAGATGATCTTTCTAAAGAAAGAAAGGCCCTCTTCACAATCATTTACAGTAGTGTTGCTCAAAGTGGTAGTTCCTGCACCAGTGCTAGGCTCTGGGTCATTGGGTGCTGGTCTCTGACAAGTTTCCAGGAAAGGAAGAAACAATTGTGGTCAATGGACACAAATATGGTGCCGTTCCCTGGCACACTGAAAGAAAAATAATTGCTGGTCCCACACACCACAGATCCTGAAAAGCACTGAGTTACAAAACTTCATAACATACTTATAACAATCATCAGAACAGAATGCACTGAATAATAGAGACCATTATCTATCAAAATTATCATTGTTTTCCCTTATTTTATCCCTTGGAATACACACACACAAACACACACATTAATAAAAATGAGATTAAAGCACTCTGACTGGCATAAAAGACAGCCCTAGTATTAATGTACACACAAACATACATGCATACCATAATGTTGATACGTACATAACCATATGCGTATGTGTGAACATTTGTCTGATTTGTTAAATCTGTAACTGTTTCCCTTTTGTTACTATTTACAGATAGTACTTTACAAAGCATGAGTGGACATACTCCTGCCCTAAGGGGCTTACACTCTAAACCAGGCACAAGGAAAACAGAAGAAGGACGGAAATGAAATTGTGTGAATACTGATTATTTCAGGTATCATACTTTCGCTGAGTCATTTTAGAGTATTGGAACATACTCTTATTTCAAGAGTAGAATCCATGAGTAGCTCTCCCAATAATTTATAGAAGACTGGCAAAGTGTTCTGACTTCCACTTGTTTGAGACTAGCGATAACAAATGAGTTTGCTCCACCCTAAATTATATTGCTGAAATGAAGAAAAAAGCTTGGGGCAACCAGGAGTATGTTTTTGTGTTGAGTACTTGTGAGCTCTGTTCAGTTTTCATACTCAAAATTCTTTAATTCT